CGAACTGAAATCAGTAGGTTTAAGAAATTGGACAATTCAAGTTCAAAGGCAGTTCGTTCCCAATTGGAGTGGTTGGTGTTTTGGGTAGTTCTAGAGATCGGATTTCACTCAAAACTAACCAAATGACTCCTCCCACCACATTATGATGTTGCCCTAGTTTTGGGCTTGATCCGAAATCAATAGGTGTAAGAAATTGGACAATTTAGGTTCAAAGGCAGTTCGTTCCTAATCGGAGTGGTTGGTGTATTCCTTAGTTCTAGATATCGGATTTCACTCAAAACTAACCAAATGACTCCTCCCACCACATTATGATGTTGCCCTAGTTTTGGGCTTGATCCGAAATCAATAGGTGTAAGAAATTGGACAATTCAAGTTCAAAGGCAGTTCGTTCCTAATTGGAGTGGTTGGTGTTTTGGGTAGTTCTAGACATCGGATTTCACTCAAACTTAACCAAATGACTCCTCCCACCATGTTATGATGTTGCCCAAGTTTTGGGCTTGATCCGAAATCAATAGGGGTAAGAAATTGGACAATTTAAGTTCGAAGGCAATTCGTTCCCAATTGGAGGGGTTCGCGTTTTGGGTAGTTCTAGGGATCGGATTTCACTCAAACTTAACGAAATGACTCCTCCCACCATGTTATGATGTTGCCCAAGTTTTGGGCTCGATCCGAAATCAATAGGGGTAAGAAATTGGACAATTCAAGTTCAAAGGCAATTTGTTCCCAATTGGAGTGGTTGGTGTTTTGGGTAGTTCTAGAGATCGGATTTCACTCAAACTTAACCAAATGACACCTCCCACCAGATTATAATGTTGCCCAAGTTTTGGGTTCGATCCGAAATCAATAGGTGTAAGAAATTGGACAATTTATGTTCAAAGGCAGTTCGTTCCTAATCTGAGTGGTTGGTGTATTCCATAGTTCTAGAGATCGGATTTCACTCAAAACTATCCAAATGACTCCTTCCACCATATTATCATGTTGCCACAGTTTTGGGCTTGATCCGAAATCAATATGTGTTAGAAATTGGACAATTCAAGTTCAATGGCAGTTCGTTCCTAGTTGGATTGGTTGGTGTTTCGGGTAGTTCCAGAGATCGGATTTCAGTCAAACTTAACCAAATGACTCCACCCACCATATTATGATGTTGCCCAAGTTTTGGGCTCGATCCGAAATTAATAGGTGTAAGAAATTGGACAATTCAAGTTCAAAGGCAGTTCGTTCCTAATCGGAGTGGTTGGTGTATTCCATAGTTCTAGAGATCGGATTTCACTCAAAACTAACCAAATGACACCTACCCCCATATTATGATGTTGCCTAAGTTTTGGGAGATCGGATTTCCCTCAAACTTAACCAAATGACTACTCCCACCATATTATTATGTTGCCCCAGTTATGGATTCGATCAGAAATCAATAGGATTTAGAAATTGGGCAATTCAAGTTCAAAGGCAGTTCGTTCCTAATTGGAGTGGTTGGTGTTTTGGGTAGTTCTAGACATCGGATTTCACTCAAACTTAACCAAATGACTCCTCCCACCATATTATGATGTTGCCCAAGTTTTGGGCTCCATCCGAAATCAATAGGTGTAAGCAATTGGACAATTCAAGTTCAAAGGCAGTTCATTCCTAATTAGAGTGGTTGGTGTTTTGGGTAGTCCTAGGGATCGGATTTCACTGAAACTTAACCAAATGACTCCTCCCACCATATTATGATGTTGCCCAAGTTTTGGGCTCGATCCGAAATCAATAGGTGTTAGAAATTGGACAATTGAAGTTCAAAGGCAGTTCGTTCCTAGTTGGACTGGTTGGTGTTTTGGGTTGTTCCAGAGATCGGATTTCACTCAAACTTAACCAAATGACTTCTCCCACCATATTATGCTGTTGCCCAAATTTTGGGCTCAATCCGAAATCAATAGGTGTAAGAAATTGGACAATTTATGTTCAAAGGCAGTTCGTTCCTAATCGGAGTGGTTGGTGTATTCCATAGTTCTAGAGATTGGATTTCACTCAAAACTAACCAAATGACTCCTCCCACCATATTATGATGTTGCCCAAGTTTTGGGCTCGATCCGAAATCAATAGGTGTAAGAAATTGGAGAATTCAAGTTCAAAGGCAGTTCGTTCCTAATTGGAGTGGTTGGTGTTTTGGGTAGTTCCAGAGATCGGATTTCACTCAAACTTAACCAAATGACTCCTCCCACCATATTATTATGTTGCCCCAGTTTTGGATTCGATCAGAAATCAATGGGAGTTAGAAATTGGGCAATTCAAGTTCAAAGGCAGTTCGTTCCTAATTGGAGTGGTTGGTGTTTTGGGTAGTTCTATACATCGGATTTCACTCAAACTTAACCAAATGACTCCTCCCACCATATTTTGATGTTGCCCAAGTTTTGGGCTCGATCCGAAATCAATAGGTGTAAGAAATTGGACAATTCAAGTTCAAAGGCAGTTCGTTCCTAGTTGGAGTGGATGGTGTTTTGGGTAGTTCCAGAGATCCGATTTCACTCAAACTTAACCAAATGACTCCTCCCACCATATTATGCTGTTGCCCAAATTTTGGGCTCGATCCGAAATCAATAGGTGTAAGAAAT